CCTTAGCTGCACTGTTTGCTGTCAGGTAAGTTTTTAGGGTTCAGAGTGGTTGGAACTTACGCTGGCCACAGTGGTGTCTCCAGTCTCCGAGACACCACCTCTCCCTGCGGTGTAAGCAGCTTAGAATTCAGCAGTGAAAGGTAAAGGAGCAGAACTTCTGTCATTCTAGGTGACCACTTGGAGTTTTTATTAGCTTCTAAAAGAATATGTTTTTATTGATTTTAGAGAGGAAAGGAGAGGGAGAGAGAACCATCAATCGGCTGCCTCCTATTGGGGATGTGGGGGTTGAGCCAGCAACCTGGGCATTGTGCCCTGACCAGGAACTGAACAGGGGAAATTGTGATGCATGGGATGACACTCAACCGACTGAACCACGGAGGCCAGGGCTTATTAGCATTTAAAATGTAAAACAATGCAACAGTGTGAGAACCATGAAGTGTAATATATATGTTTGGTAGGTACAAATTTTAGTTTCTACATGAAATGTGTGTGTGTATATGAATATATGTATATGAATACATATCAGTGCCAGGAACACTTTGTGCCTCCCCTATCCCAGCGCTCCCCGCACTGTACGGTGATTGCAGGTTCCCCTGTCCTCTGGCCACTTGTGGGAGTCCCAGTGCCTGTAGGTCAATCACCTATACTTGCCGAGTTAACTTGAAGGGCTTATATGCAGAGCTCCGTAGTGTTCCCATTTGGTTCACTTTAAAATATCTGCTAGAAAGATAGTTACAGCTAATGGCCTTTGGAAGCCCGGCCCCTCTCTCTGAAAAGTGGGAGTTTGAAACTTAGAAAGACAAGGATGGCCCCTCGTCTTTGAAAGGCCAGTGTGGTCCCTTTTCATGGCGCCCCCGGAATTCAGTCTTGTTTTCTCCCTGTTTCCAGCCTCGTTAACTTTGTGTGCCACACCTGCTTCAAGAGGCAGGAGAAGCTCCACCACTGTGGGCAGTGCAAGTTTGCGCGTTACTGTGACCGCACCTGCCAGAAGGATGCGTGGGTAGACCACAAGAAGGAGTGCTTGGCCGTCAAGAGATACGGGAAGGTGCCCAATGAGAACATCAGGTCAGAGCTGGGCCCTGAGGAAATGTTTGGGATTTCCGGATGTCAGGGTGTGGGGCTGGTGGCAGTGACAGCATTCTCAGGCCCAAGGAAGTCGGGCTAAGTGCAAAAGCAGGACAGCGCCCCCAAGAGACCCGATATGGCCACGTCTGTGAGCTCCCTTTAGGTCTGGGAGCCCAAGAGGGAGGACAGGTTAATGGCACCAAAATACAGACCCCGGCTGGAGCTGGCTGCAGACACATTCTGTATGGCTCCCTAATATTTAATTTAAAAATATTAATCTGCCAATGTTCAAAAATTGGAAATTTCACATTTAAAAACATGAGGTTTTTTTGGCCTGTCTTGAAAAAAAATCTGAAGATGTGGCAAAATGTGCTAGAGCTCAATACATCTACCCCTTTTACAAAACACTGATACTGGCCTGAAGTCTGTCACCCATTAGTCTCTAATCTCTGAGCTTTGTGACATTCTTCCTAATATTTGGAGGTAGCAGACACCCTAGACCAAACCTTATTTCCTCCAGTTCTATCCCGCGCTCCATGTGAGGCCATCTTGGTTCTCAGGCGCCTGGGGTCCCTGGCAGGGCATCTCTGTGGAAATAACCCCATGACCCAAATGAGAGGAAAAAAGGGCCATACTTTTCCAAGGGGGTTCCTCTTCAGGGGGTTCCTGTCCTAGGCCACCAGTCCTCCCCTGGTGCCTGGCCAGTGAATGGCAGAGTTGCCAAAGTGTCCCTTGCCAAAGGCTTCATCTTGTAGGTATGGGCTGCTTACTCGTTAGCAGGGGGTCCTCTCTGCCCTCA